TGACCCAGGTGACCATAAATGGCAGATGAAGATGTTGGCTGGGCACAAAGGAGGGGCCATACCCATCAGGGGCTTTGAAATTCCTCCTGGATTAGCATCTTTATGTCGGAGAGGCTTTAATGAGTACCCCATGCTTGCTATGCACTTACTGTGGAAACCAAAACACATCGGATTGGGATTGGAGCAACCTGGTCTAGTGGAGGATGGCACTGAGGCTGGAACTAGGGGATGGAACTGGGTGATTTTTAAGGTCCCTTCCACCCCAAACCATTCAGTGGTTCTGTATTTCGCTCTGATATCTGCACAGCTCCCCTTTCCTCCTGACCCTGTAACGTTCTGTTGTTAAAAACAAACATAACTTGCTCTGATGAGTCCCTCCCATCCCCAAGAAGGTCCCCAAGGTCTCCCTGGAGGGTCAGTGGCTGGCCCTGTCCAGGTCACAGGGAGGGAGCTGGATGGGGCAGCAGGGCTGAGTCACCAAAGGTCAGCCAGTAGCTGAGAGCAGGAGGCTGGACTGGATCCAGACACAGCCAGAAGAACTCTCCCTGAACTCATTAATGACGTTTCTCCTCGTGGATGGGCTCAGTGAAGTTCTGTCTCTCTTTATCTCTCCGTTTTTGTCACCCACCACAGCGAGTGACCCAGATCCCAGCGAGGAACCGGACCCTACGAGCACACTGGGGCGACTCTGCCCTCCCCCAGAGCCCCTTTCCCTTTGCCAGGAGGGCAGAGGGTCCTTCCCAGAGCAGCAGGGGAGGGAAGGGGGGTAACCCACCCTGCTGCTGTTCAGCTGAGCCACTCCAGGCTCTGGCTGTGCTGATGGTTCAGCCCCTGACAGCCCCCAACCCTGCCCTGAGCAGCAGTTTGTGGAGTCCTCAGAAAATGGGAAACCCACCTGAAGCACAGAATCTTTACAGAAAGAAAAGACCTTCCAGATCACCAAGTCCAACCTTTGACTAAATCCCCCCATGCCCACTAACCCATATCATGAGAAATGGGAGAAAAGGTTCAGAAACCAAACACCTTGTAAATACAGGTGTGACACACTCAACTATTACAAATTACTTCAGTAGAGGTAGAACAGTAAAACTAGAATTTCTGCTGCTTTGACAGCAGAAACATCTATCCAGCAGTATTGAAATTCATAGAATCATAGTTTCATGCCTTTCAAAAATAGTAATTATCAATTTCTTCATTTGAAAACCTGCTACACATCACTGATGGGTCAGCTCCTTGTCAAAACCTGCTGGAGCCTGGGAGAGGTGTTGCTGTACCTTTGTCTTGTTCTCATACTCCTTCCTAGATACCCATCAGACAGAGGGATGTAAAACACCCCACGTGGGTTTCATGGATTGTTAAACCCACACCTTCCCTGGGACACCTCGTGCATTCCAGCTCGAGAAAGGTGCAGGCAGAGCAAACTGCACAGGCCAACAGGTAATAATGACAACATTTCCAAGCAACATTTAGGATAACAATTATAAAACACAGGAACACGGCTGACTGTAGGGGATGCTGGCATATATATCCACATATCCCAGCTCCAGTGTCCACGGAGTGCAAAAGTACATCCAGCAAAAGTACACCTGCAGCTGCCTGGACTGAACCAGGCCATGGATGTGAGGATTTACCGGGAAAGCCTCGGTTCAGGCAGCATTGGAGCTCCCTCTAGCAACCACGCCAGGAAACAGCCAATTCCTGCAAAACCCCAAGAATTCCAGCACCGCCTCACTCGCAGCCCTGCCACGACGCCAAGATAACAAGAACTGCCCGCGATGCGGGTACATGGATTTTTGGAGTTACATTTTCCTCCAGTCCCTGCTCCATTTCGGTATCCGAGGTGAAAACAGACTCAGTGCTGCACTTGGAAATGGTCAGTTTGGCAAGTGAATATTCCACCAGGTGAAGGTCCCCTTTGCAAGGCTGTGGGTGGGGGGTTCCAGAGGGGCCTCAGCCTTTTCAGGCAGTGACTTGTGAGCAGCCAAGTCCCCACCTCGTGCCAATGACCTCAAATGCACTGCCATCCCCAGGCACCTGCTCATGGAAGGAGCTTCCCCAGCCACAAACCGTTCTATAATTCAAACTCGTTATGAACCTTGAGTTGCTTGGACTGGTGGCAATCCATAATTCCATGACTCAGCTGGTGGTCTGGCTAAGGAAACATCTCAGAACCTTGACTGCATTCATGCTTGAGATCTTCACCCTTCTACAGTTTTCAGGGAGTTATTCCTTCTCCTCACATCACATAATTCTTTGTTTCAGCTACTTAAAGTTTACTTTGGGAGGTGAATCTGTTAATTTATCATAGTTGAATTGGTTTGTGTGTGTGGTTTTGGTGTGGTTTTTGTGTTTTTATTTTGTGTGTGTGTGTTTGTTTGTTTTTGGTTTGTTTCGGTGGGGTGGGTTTATTTGTTTGTGGGTTTGGTGGTTGTTTTTGTTGTTGTTGTTTTCTCCATCTAGTGGTGCATAAAAACTCATCCCATTCCAGCCCAAAGTGTCCACACTCACTGCTCTGAGCTGTTTCAGTGAATTCCCACAATGAGTTACAGAGAGGAAATAAAACATGTGCAGAAAATAACAGCAAAACTGAAGCCTCACCCACCCATTTTTGGCCAAACCACGTAAGAGCTGAACGTGTTTGCAAAGGAGGACTCCACATTGCAGAAGAAAACCAGAACAGCCTGATCCTAAATGCTGCAAGTGCCAAAAGGTGCCAAAGGAGAAATTCCCCAACTGAACTTCCCCAAAGCAGCAGCTTTTCTTCAGTCCTTGGGCTTCATGGAAGAAGGAAATGGTCTATAAAAGTAGTAAAAAGGCATTTCTACTTCACCTTCCATACCAGAAAGCACAAAAAGATACTCTTCACTTCACAGAAACAGTGCAGATTCATGAGGAATCAGAAGAAAAAGGGAATTTTTCTTCTGGTACCTCTCTCTGTTTCATAATAACAAGCAGCATTTAGGTCATTATTTCTAACTCTGGTTAACTAAGAGAGCCCCTACCAGGCTCCACTGCTAAACCCTGAGATTCACAGCATGTTTTATTTAGCCAGACATCATTTATTTAAACAGGAAAATGTTTACTTCTGCATTTCTGACTTGCAGCGCCTCAGAGAAGGTCAGCTTCTCTCTGTGCTCCACCAAGAGTAAATGCCACAATTTAATGATACTCTGGCTACAAACTCAAAGTGTTTCAAATGCCAGCAACTCCTAATGACACGATTTACCCTTAATTGGAATACCACTGGATAGAAAACACCCCCTGGTAGTGTCCTGTAAGAGCCAATAACACTGGTCAGGCTTTGACTTCATTTTCTCCTGAGACACATCATTAACTGCAACCACATTTAGGATAATCAAGTGCTGTCTCTAGGAGGAAAAAGGGCTGACACCCGGAGCTGGAGGGTTAATCTGCACGGTTAAATAGCAGTCCTGCTTCTTTGTTTCCCTTTACACACATAGATAATACATAGTTATTGAAAGATTGGGCAAATCTTCCCCTCTGGAAGGGAATAATTATAGTGCTCCAGAGTTCAGTTCACCGAGGAGAGAGAGTTAATCACTGTTTACATCTGGGAGGAGATAAGCAAGTCAAAATATCACCAACTCCTACTGTTTCTGTCTTTGGGAAGCAACTAGGAGAAACTCTTAATTATAAAGGCCCAAATTGTGAGAAACATTCAGCCATTTCGGTGGTTACCCTGCTTAGTAAACATCAGCTCACTTCCAGGGATACAATCAACTCCAGGAATTCACTGCACAATTTTTTACACACATTATTTAAAAATTTTACAGTGGGAATGGAAGTTCTTCAGGTACATGGTAATAAAAAAGTGATCAAGAAACACACGAAACTAAGGAATATTCACTACCAAAGAACAGCAGCAGCCATACAGTGTTTGCAGTCTGCAGTGAGCATAAAGGATGTAGAGAAACCTGCAAAATCATGAAGGCAGATTATCCCTCTGCAAGCAAACCCTTCCCAGGGCTGGGACACGGCACAGTCACAGCCAAGGCAAGCACAAGAAAACATTTCACAGGAAGGATAAAGACAGCAGATCAAACCTAACACAAAAGCAAATAACCGGTATTCTGGTTTTATATGGATCCCTTTGGGGGGAAGAAAACACAGAATGAGAGTGAGCCTCAAGCTGCCTTCACAGTTCTTCCCTCCTTGATCCTGATGATTCTCCTTTTATCCAGTCCTCAAAGCCACAGCTACAAATAAATACCTTTTTTTCACCCTACATCAAGCCATCTCTGCCTTTCCACGAGCTCTAGACAGTGTGGAGCAATATTTTAACTCAGTCACAAATATTTCAGAGTATTTTCCCCCCTCCCAGCTTTTCTTCCTTGCAATCCTCAGGGTAGGAAATGCCACTGCACAGAAAACTGTTCTCTTGGACTGTTTCAGTTTGGAAGATCCAACCAGCAGAAATTCTCCCGTGGTTTTAGAGCCACGGGATGTGTCTGGAAAGATGAAAATCAACCCAGTGCCTTTTGGGCAGTGGGAACTTGGCCACCCACGGCCAGGCTCTCATTTATCCAGTCACAGTCTTGCCCAATTCCAAGTTCATTCCTTCAATGACAACCTCGTGCAGAGCTTTGGGAACAGCATTGTCATTGATGAGACACACCAGAAGTTCCTGAGCAGTGATGATCTTGGGCTCTGCTAATGCTTGATACAAGAATTGCACAAACACAGGCAAAAGAAACAGAGCTCAGGGTGTGACCTGAGAGCACCTGCTGCAACAGAGATGTGCTGCTTCCTCAGAACAATCACAGGGCAAAGAGAGAAGGGTTAATCTCTGTGTGGTAACATCCCTAAAATGCCACGTGGTGGTGTTTGCCCCAGCCTTGAAATAACCTGTTCAAACAGCCTAACACAGATCCCCAGAACAGCTGCCCTCCCACCCCACCTCCTCAGCATTTGGGGGGAAGGGATGCCCTCAGTCCGTGCCCTTCACACCACACAGCAACAAAACTCACAGTGCACTCCAGGACTTGTGGAACTGTTTATTTTAGTTCAAAATAAACTGTGCATTTCAGGGGTTTGTTTACAGCTGGAGTGTGTTTTCAGCACTGGACGGGAGGAAGAGCTGTAGAAAGGCATGGACAGGAGGTCACTGAGGGCACAACCCGTGCCTTCTGCATTACCCAGAGTGACAGGACAGAATCCTCTGGCATCCATGCAAGTGCCAGTCAGTCCATCCACACCAGTACAGAGGAGAGGAGAGGTGGGCTATACAGGTGGAGCACTGCCTGCACACTCAGCAGCGGCGCTGTTATCTTGAGGATGGGCTACTAGACCCCGAAGGTGGACAGCAGAACTGGTGCAGAACATTATCTTCCCTGCCAAGGAAGAGGGGGGGCAAGAAAGAAGAGAGAGACAGAGGAACAGAATCACAGGGCACAGCATTAGGAAAATTAAGCTTGAGATTTTTCTCTGTTTTGTTTTTAAATCCACAAATACCATCGCTTGTCTGTAAGTACCACCCAATTAACCATTTCCATCTGAGACAGGACTGCCAGCACAGGGAAGAACAGCCCAACGAGCCTGGTCAACTCTGAAGAGTTAAACTCTGGGTCAAAAGCTGGGTTGAAAGGGCAATTTCTGGTTTTCCCATAAGAAGACTTACATTAAGCAGCCATATGCATAACCAGCCTACAGTGGCCATGGCTCCTTTATTTGTAACATGCTTCAAACTTCCCACAGGTATTTTCACTGCCCACGTTCCACTGAAAGTGCAGAACATCCCCCTGATTTCCACACAGAAACATTGATTAATGGCTGCAGTTCTCTCCTCCCCCCAGCCTCTCCTCAGGTGGAAGGGAGAGCTCTGTCTCCAGGAGGAGTTGCCAGCATCATGAATGGTGAACGCAGCAGGAGGAGCAGTTTGGAATACCTACATCTGTAATGCTAGAAAGTGCTTTATGGCAGGTGGAGGGAGGGATGCTGGCTTGGCAGGAGGCTGCAGAGAGGCCACTTCTTGTACCAGAACAACCACGAGGGGCCATTTCCTTTAAACCAAAGAACAAGCTGAAGGAGGAGGATGGAAAGGAACACAATGAAGGAAGAAACACAAGAAAATCCAAAAAAACAAGTAGTGAGTTTCATGCTATTCTGGTAGCTCCTGATTGTACTCAAAGCCCTTGTTGTGCAGGGGCACAGTTCCCTGTTTGTACATCCCTACATCACGTAGGCATCAAGTGGAAAATTACAAGTATTCCTATAATTATGCCAGCTTTCCTTTGCCATAGGGCGTGAGCACAGATGCCTTATATAATCAGCTGAACCTCACACTGACTTGGGGTGGGATTTGGGCACAGTTTGGCTCTGCTTTGCTCTGCCCATCTGTATTTTGCCTCTCTGTGCTGCTGGTCTGAGCATTGCTGCTCTCTCTCCTTTGCTCAGTTTGAAAAAGAAAACTTGTCAAGCTTTTAAATCTGTATATTCTAAAGAGAGGCTCGAGGGCTTAAATGTGCTGAGTTACACAGCAAGGCAGTTGCCATTCACTTAGAAATTAGATTCCTATTCAACATTTTTTGGCAGAGAACATCAATAAATATTTATGTCAATAGTACACAGGACTGTGAAGTGCAGCTACAGCTTCACCTGTGACTGATCATTGGGAAGCTCCCACAGGACCTGGGAGGGGTGGGGGATGTCTCTCCAGATGCTTCTCTGAAGGACACGTGAAGTGTTTCCTCTGTGTCTCAGCCTGGGGAAGGGTCCAGTGCTCATGAGTGGGAAAAAAATCAAACTGAGGGTTTCAAAGTACCACATTTATCTGCAAGGAGGCATTTTTCATTCCAGGAATCTAGGCAAAAAGTTCTCCCAGTTTTCCCTGGCCGTGCCTGGTGTGCAAGAATTCGCACTGTGCTCTTGGGAAGACTTAAAAAAACCAAACTACTCTAATGCAAGGTAGAAGCATCTGTCAGCTTGGGATCCTGGGAGGACAAGCCCCTCTGTTAACCAGTTCTGGTGGCAAAACAGCTCCAGTGCCCACCAGGCCATCACACAAAAAAGAAATAGCACAATCAGCCCTTCTATCATCGTCCATGCAGTGGTTTCTTGCACGTAACCCAACATTACCTGGTGAAACAAAGATCCCACATTAAAATTTCACACAAGTACAGTATTTTCAGAATGATGGTTTTACCTCCCAGAGGTGCTGATTAAACATTAAGCAGGCAGAGACTGCAAGAAAATGATGGGGTTTCTTTGGTACTATAAGATCCTTTGCATTATCTTTTTGTTTTCACAGGTATCACTGGGGAAAAGAAAAAAAAAGAAAAGAAAAAATCTCTAGCTTCACGATTTTAAAAATGGTCTTTGGACATGATAAGGGTGTCTAATCTGAGATTAGAAGGATGGAAGGCAAAGCAGATGGAGAAAGGAATGATCGAACAAGGTAATCATAGTGCAAATAAACACATGAGATGAAAAGATGCTCAGACACCAGTGGTAAGCAAATCTGTCCACAGCTGGAGTTGCATTTATCACCTTTTCCATATCCATCCACAGAGTGCAGATAGCAGTGACTGTATATCCCCAAGCACGGGCACTTTCCTCATGAAATCTCGCTGTGAGGGTTCCTCAACACCCAACAGCTACAGCAGCATTAGGGCTGAAAACCCAAACCAATCACACCCAAAACCCCACCCCCCCAATTTCAGCAGAGTGGGGACCATCTCCACGGGTGGGCTGAACTGTCCTGAGATGGTAAATGAGCCCTGCACCCCCAGGAGGGTGTGACCAGCTGAGGAACTAGAAGGCTGAGGTGACACAGGGGAGGGGGATGTTATTGGGATGAGGGACCTCCCACCTGCCCAGATGGGCTCAAGTTCTGACTGAAGGTGGTTTAAAGATGTGTCTTGAACCACAGAATGGTTTGAGTTGGAAGGGACCTTAAAGCCCACCCAGTGCCACCCCCTGCCATGGGCAGGGACACCTTCCACTGTCCCAGGTTGCTCCAAGCCCTGTCCAACCTGGCCTTGGACACTTCCAGGGATGGGGCAGCCACAGCTTCTCTGGGCAACCTGTGCCAAGGCCTGCACTACCCTCACAGGGAAGGATTTCTTCTTCATATTCTTTCTAAACCTACTCTCAGTCTAAAGCCATAGGAGATGTGTTTAGAAAATGCTGGGAACAGACTGTCCTTCCAACAACAAGCAGAGGTGATTAAATTCCTGTTCTCTGGATGCCATTACATCTCTGGGCTTTGCTTTGCTCAGATTCCAGCTGTGAGGCCACTGAGATGATAATGAAGGCTGGATCAAGCAACTGAAGTACAGGACTATACAAGGATTTCTACTTCTGGAAGCCTCTCCAAGGTGTTCCACCATTTCCTTACTTTTACCCTTCACACCAGATGCAAAACCTGCATTCAAATGATCACCAGCAAATCCAGAGCAGCTCATGGAATTTGCAGCCTCAAACTAGAGGACATTGTTTTTAAGCCTCTCCTCTGGGAGGGAAAGGGAGTCAAAGAAGCCAAGTTCCAGCCATTACTGGTATATTTTTTTAATTTCCAAACAAAAATAACCCAAAAAGAGCAAGCAGAGGAGGCATATGGGCTAACTGGAACCCAGACAAATATCTAGCTGGAAGTATGTTCAGGCTTCCCTGGATTTTTCTTGTAATAGGAGAATGCAAGATAACTTGTATTATTTCTATTTTGAACACTGTAAAACGAGCAAGCCAGGGATTACTGTGATAGCTGCAGTTATTAAAAATGCATTATTTCCCTATTAACAATTCAAAACAGATGCCAAAGATCGTCTCGACTAGAAATAAAACTGCTGGAGTGACTAAAACATCCAGCAATTAGCTAACAGCAAATCAGCGACGCTCCAGATTCCACTGTAGTGCATTCATTAATTGCTTCTTTCAGAGCAAATTTAATTTTTAATTCTGGGCTACAAAATTAATCCCTCTGCGTATTTTCTAAATAAAGCCTCAAAACTGAAGCTCGACCAAAGCATCCACGTCTGCTGGTTTTGTTTCTAATGATTTCTATTTATAAGTTGATAAATGGGAAGCATAAAAGCCAAATTTAATACTATTAAGTGTATGTGGAAATGCAAAGCCCAATCTTGTTAGTGCTCTAGGAGCTCATTTTCATTCCCAGCAACAGGATCCCCACATACAGGTCCTGTACAGACCCAGGTGCAGGATTTGCACTTGCTTTAGAGATTCCAGTTGTGGGGATGTCAGTTTGGATAGAACAGCTTCAGAAATTTAAATTGGTGGCAAACTAAACCAATTCCTGCCATGTTAACAGCCAGGCTTTAATACACCACCACATCTGGGAGCAGGACACTGCCTGGGATGGCACTGACACCACTGTAGAATTTGGAATTAAATCCTTAGAAAATAAACTTGTAACTCTTTTTTTGTCTTCCCAAGAACAGAGTGCTTCAGGATGTTGGAAGGAACTGCTGGAGGTATCTGTGCTCCAGTCCCTGCTCAGAGCAGGGCCAACCACAGCAAGTTGCTCCAGCTGGGCCCAGTTGAACTGACATTGCTGAAGACACAGATACCTCTTCCCCTCCTGGCCTCTGTTCCGAGTGTTTGACCATGACCATGGCCAAATTCCCCTCTCTCCCTGCCTTGTTTCTCACTGGAATTTTCCTCACTGCAATCTGTTTTGGTTGCCTCTTGCCTCATCCTCTGCAAGAAGAGCCTGGCTACACCTTTTCCATATTCTCCTCTTCACAGAATCATGGAATGATTTGGGTTGGAAGGGACATTAAAGCTCATCCAGTGCCACCTCCTGCCATGGGCAGGGACACCTCCCACCATCCCAGATTGCTCCAAGCCCTGTCCAACCTGACCCTGGACACTTCCAGGGCTGGGGCAACCACAGCTTCTCTGGGCAACCTGTGCCAGGGCCTGCCCACCCTCCCAGGGAAGAATTCCTTCCCAATATCCCATCTAAACCTACTCTCCTTCCATTTGAAGCCATTCCCTCTTGTCAACTCCCAATTAAGGAGTTGATTACAGCATCAGCCCTGAGACTTCTCCAGGGAGTAGCCCCGTTCCCTCAGCTCTCCTCCTTTGTAGATGCTCTGCCCACAGACACCTTGGTGATCCTTTGCTGGGCTTGCTCCACTATCCTGATGTCCTTCAAAAAGCCAGCTGCTCCAGAGGAGGTTTCACAAGTGGTGACAGAAGGAGGCAATCACAGAATCACAGACTCGTCAGGGTTGGAAAAGCCCTCTAAGATCAAGTCCAACCATCCCCCAGCACTGCCAAGGCCACCACTAACCCATGGCCCCAAGTGCCACATCCACACGGCTTTTAAATCTCTCCTGGGTTGGGGACTCCATCACTGCCCTGAACAGCTGTGCCAGGGCTGGACAGCCCTTCCCTTGAAGAAATTTTTCCTGATATCCAACCTAAACCTGCCCCAGTTCCTCTTGTCCCATCACTGGTTACCTGGGAGCAGAGCCCAACCCCCACCTGGTCCCCCCTCCTGTCAGGGAGCTGTAGAGAGTGAGAAGGTCCCCCTGAACCAAAACTTCCTTGAGAGCAAACAAGGCCAGTGATGAGTTCCTTCCCACCCCCAGTCCTGAAACCACAGCTGAAGATCTTATGGCAGCTTTTGGGGCACTCTAAGAATGTGCTTTACACATCCAGACACACTCAGGGAGTTTCTGTTTTCACTGCACAGAGAGAGAAAGGCAAAAAGGGCTAGAGAAGGGAAGGATTTTTTAAGCACCAAGTTATGCTGCTTTCTAAGCTTTAATTCCAGAAGAAATACCACTGATAAAAATAATAACCTACGTGCAGCAAGATATTGAGACATCCCAGAAAAAACCAGCTGGTTTTCCCATCAGCATCCTTGTAGGGAGATCCTTAAAATTAAAGCACTATAAACTAAGGACAAAGGAAAACTAAAAGCAAGCAGGGAATCTCACAGTGTTCAGGCCCTGCCCCTCACTAAAGGAATATTAAGTTGTCTCACAACCCAACCGTGGATTCACTACCACCAAATAAACCAACAGCTCTGATGGGAGGGAAAAAACAAACACACATAAGGAGATGCTGCAACGTAAAACACCAGGATGAATCCAAGCATGCATGGTGAGAGAAAACTAAGGGATGAAATATTCCAACCAGAAATGTGTTTATGCATTTACAGATTTAGGATTCATTGTTTGGTTTTGTCTTTCCTTGTTAACCGGTGCAAAGCGATTTGATTTTTCAGCACCAGGCTTCCAATGTTTTGATATGAATATTATTCATGAGCTGGCAATTATCACTAAGTTAATCACTAATAGCAAAAGTAAAAATTAAAAGACAATGTTTTCCATGACATGCACGATTTCTTAACAGCTGTCACGTTTGCAGTTACTTAGATTAGCTGCCCTTTGATGCTTCTGCAAGATGCTAAAATAAACACTGGCACTGCCAAGGAATTGTACTACGAGGGGTAATTGCTGCTCTCCATGTCTGATCAAAGAGAACACAGCGTAAAGGCACCGGTGTTAAAGCATTATGAGCTGGAAAACATATTTTTGATATATTCAGGGCAGGTTCTGCTTGGCATCAAGGGCCTGTATGTGCTTAAAAAGCCCTTAATTCACTCCCATGAAAGGGCAGTGCTGAGCCCTGTGCAGGTCCTTTAACCTTCAGAGTGCCACAGCACATGGATTTTGGCAGGGAGTATTCAGGGCTTAAAAAACCAGAAGTGTTGCTCAGAACAACGTCAATATCCTCCACCAATTATATATAAATATTTCAAGATATTTGTTCTGTGAGAACTAAATCTACAGTAGCTTCTCCCTACCTTTGTGAATCTAGGGGGATGTGCCTCTTTAAGCACATGACACTCCTTTTACTCTATAATTCCAGAGTGCCTGGGAGAAGGATTCACTACAGCAATAGTTCTACTCAGAACCACCCTAAATATTGGGTATTTTTTCCAATATGCCTTTTTTTTAAATTTAATTTATTTCTCTTTTAAAACTTGAACCGCTGTTCCCTGTCTCGTGTCAAATGGTAACATCAGATCCCTCTCCACAAATCAGAAGTGGGTGGTCCATGTCTACTCTTACCTGTACTCTGAGTGTGTGGCAGGGACAGCTAGCTGGGAATGGTACAATGGAGCTGGACAGCAAAACTGGTGCAGAGTATTTAAAGACCTACGACACAAGGAAAAACACAGAGTCAAACCACCAGGTGTTTAGAAAGGGGCTTGGGAGGGAAAGGCAGGTGCTAACGGGTGTGTTGGGAACTCATGGTTAAGGCTGAATGGAATTTGATGTGCAAGCTGTCAATTGTGAATGCCAGGAAATCGGGAGGGGAATGTTTGCCACGTTGGGAACACACATGTTGGAGTGATGGGGGTGAGCTGTGGAGAGTCCAGGTTTGGTTGCAAGATTTAGACCAAATGCCAATTGAAGGCTTTGGGTTTGCCTTGCCACGTGGAATGAAGGCAAAAACGCCCAGAATCACAGGGTGTTCTGGGCTGGAAGAGACCCACAAGGATCATCACGTCCAAGTCTTGAGGGAAAGACCCATACAGGGATCAAACTCAACGCTGAGGGCTGGAATTCCCATGGACATGAAGCTTCAGATTTCCTTACTCTGCACCAGTCAAGCTGTTCCTCTGTCAGTGGAATTACAGACACAGTGCTGTGACATGAGGAGGGAGGATGTGATGGACATGGACACAAGCTTTCTGCAAGCCCAGCAATTACAAACATATTGCAATAACAAACCACTTGAAAATGGGAAAGAATCCAAGTCTCACCCCCTTTTAAACAACATTCAGAACTGTGCAATACAAGTTTAATTGCTGTCATTTGTTCAAAGCATGGGGAAAAAAAATAAAAAGAAGTTTTCCAACACAAAGATATTCTGCCCCCCCACCCAGATCGTTAGGTTTGTGTGGTTTAATTGAAAACAAAGAAGAGCTGCAAAACAGGACAAGGTATTGCATCTGAAGGAAAGCTCAGAAAATAAGCAACACACAGCACACATCTCTGCATTTCTGGTGTTTGTGCCAGGAAACTTTAAACAAGGGTTTAGCACAGTTAGGCCTCCGTGATAAATCCACCTAATCAAATTTCTTCAGACACAGCGTTCTTCTAGGAAATCATAAAAAAATAATCAATATCTCCTTGCTCTCTGAGTGGGGACCTATGGAAGAAGTAGCCATTAAATTGAAAATTCTCATTTAACTTGTAAGCATCCAACCTGGCTGTTAACAGAGGATGTGTGTGCACAGAAATGCACTTCCCCCCACACACCTCATCTTTTGCTTTGGTGTCTTGACAGAGGCTCCAGAAGATTGATTTTGATTCTTCTGCATCCCTGAGGCTTAAAGTGAATCCTGTGAGGTCACTTTCTTATAAGATCAAGCAGAGTGGTTAAGCAAAAAGAAGCCAGGCTTTGTTCAGGAAGGACTCGGTTACTAATCCTTTGGAAAAAAAAGACAAGGTCAGCCTGTTCTGATTTCTGTTGCCAACTGTGTGTCAGCAACTGCACGGCCAGGACGAGCTGGATTTTCTGTTTAAAGATAGCAACTGCTGGTAACCCCTGGAAAGTACTTGAGCTTTTGGAAATGGCAACACAAATCAGTCATGAGGCACCTTCCCATCAGGGGACATACAGCTACTGATGGTGGCACCTTCAAACCCGCGGGAAAGATGAGCAGAACAACTCAAAAGAAAGATGGTGAATGTTACTGGAAGCACTGATGGACCGTGACAAAAGCAGCCAGAACACGCAAAAGCTGGATTTTCTGACAGGAAGAACAGACAGTATCCACAGAAGCTGCCCCATACAATGCACAGAGCCGAGGGAGAACACTGGAAACGGGCAGAGCACGAGTCTCACACTGGGCAGGGAAGCTGTTCACACGGGCGAAATCCCTGCTTTGGGACACCGGATTTTTCCAGTAGAAGCAAAAGTAGGAAATTAGTAGGAGAGTGTCCCAGATTCCCTTCCCACACCACTGTTTTTTTTTCCATACAAATCTCTCTCTTTCTTCAGAGAGCAAACCAGTGAACGTATGAAAGAATCTCTCTGGGTTCAGTTCTGCTCAACAAAGCTTTTTGAACAGAGCTTGCTCCCGGCTCTTCCAGAAAGGATCTGCCCACAAGGTTCCATAAATCTGTCCTGCTCTGACTTTCCTAGGTTCCAAAAAACCCTGAATAATAAAGAGGGAAGCTCTCCCTATCATCTCAGGCACGATTTGTACTCACCTATTGCACAGGACTGGGATTGGGAGCTCAACTGCTCTGAGTTTCTGTTCGAAGGTGCAGCAGAAACGCAACAGTCCCGTCACCTTGACAGCAAATGAGAAGTGCCAGAGGTTTGTCAGGTGGTAAATACACCGCCCCTGGTAGTGCCAAGTGCCAGGGCAGGTGTGGAGGAGGTGGAACAGACGGTCAGGTGCAGCTGCAGGCTGTGATCAAGGTACCCTGTGTCACTGCTGTGCTCCAGCAGGAGCATCTTGGAGGCCAAAGACGTTCGCTCAACACATCAGCTTGGACTGCAGATGTTTCTCAGGCTGCTCAAAACAGGCTCTTTGTCCACCCAGTCAGAGAGGCAAACATGAGGGCTGGACTCTGCTCTGAATTTTAAAATTCAAGGGACATCTTGACTCAGTGTTTGGGTTCCTCTCAGTCTCACTGACTGATGTCCTGTCAGCCTGACAAACAGCGAGGCTCAGACTTTACAGCCTCTGACTAATGCTAATTTTACCAAAGCATTTGGGTAAATCTGCTGGTGCAACTTAAGGCTCACATGTGGCATTTTGTGCCTTCAATCACCTGCTAAAACAGTGCTTGCATTAATTTACTGCTCTGGAACCTACCAGAAAAAATTCAATATTCCAATGATTTTGTTTGTTTGTTTTAGTTGCTTGGTTTTATTTTTTAATTATTTTCTAAACTTCATAGCTAGATTTTGCAATCGGCCTTCTGCACAAGTTTGCATTCAAACTCGAAGTGATTTACTAATTTTTAACACCTATAGATATCAGAAGAAATATATTTCAATAATTTGGAGGAGAAACAATCACTTCTGTTCACAGGCTCATAGATAATTCGGCCCTATTAAGTTCAGTTTCTGCATCTCTAGTGGATGTTCTTCAAAAGAAGATTTAAGATAATAAACAGAGCAGAGGGTACCTCAGCACCAGCACAACACAAATGACTGAAGTGATGAACGGTTCTTGTGGCAAGATCAGTTTCTGAACCACTGCTGCAACATCCCAGTGCACATGGAAGGGACTCCCCACCTGCAGGCCCAGTTCCTTCCAGCTCTCCCCAGGTCCTCACAGACAGGCAACCATTTGTCCATTCTTAAAGAAAGTTCCTTGTGAGAACAGACCAGAAAAGTAAAACCTGAACCAAACCTAACCCAAACCCCTGACATCCCATCCCCTCAGGATACCAATGCAACAGGAGAGATGCAGCTCCCAAGGAAGCTCCCAGCCCCAGAGCAGGTGTGACTGTTCCTCTCCCCTCTGCATCAATACCATCGTGTTTGCCATTAGAAACCACTCATTGGAACAACACTTCCCTATCCATCAGTGAACAGAAATGACCATTCTTTTTAATCTTTCATTTCCAGAGTCTTGCTCAGATGTACAAATAGAAAGTAATCCATTACTGGTCATCACATAAAGCCATAAATGTACTTTTTAAATTTTTCATTTCCTCTTACAATCCCCAACACATCTCCCAGACTCAGCAGGCAATTTTCTCAGTGTTGGTTTTTAAACAACCTGGGTAAAGGGAACATAAGGCTGTTAACCTGGAATTGCTTTGGCTTTGACAGTGATCTTCTGCTTTCCCAGTGTCCTCTCAGCTGGTGCCTGCTCCTGGCAGGATGGTGCTGGGGCATGGAAAGCACCCCAGAGAAGTGTTGGGAGGCTGGAGGCAGCTTGTCCCCCTCCCTGTGAACAGCACACCCTGCTTAGCACAGGACAGGACACCCACCCCTTGGCTGATTCGCTGCTGTTCCATGTTAAGCGTGTGTAAACCCGGGAGTAGGGTGGCAGAATTGTTATTGGAACCTCTTCCCACACGATCAGCAGCTTCCAAACAGAAGGGACTGACACTGTTGTCTCACAGAGCCTTAGTAAAATGGGTCCAGGAGCACAGCTGGAAGAAATGGTGCCTTTACAAAGTTTCTGGTGTGGCTGATGACAGGAGCCTGCTCAGCACGTTCGTTCATCTCCACTGCTGCACTTCCCTACATCCATATGACTTCATACATTATTCCTCCTCTTTGTCTGGAATAACAATCTGTTCACCTCCATCTGCCAGGATTCTTCCCTTTCTTCTGGTACATTTTTCCATGAGGTGCAGGTTCCAAGGAGTATATGGAAAAAGTAATGCCAGCACAGCCTCAGGCCCCTGGATACCTGGTGAGCCCCTGTCCTTTCTAAAAGGAGCTTGGGAAGAGCAGGAGGGGCAGAGAAATTCATCCCCTGCATAAGCCCATTCACTGCAATGTCACCTGAGGTAGCTAGAATGCTTATTTGGTTGGATTCATGCCTACAAGCTAATCAAAGGAATACTTCCATTTCTCAGTGTTTTACCCTCATGAATAACATCATTTTACAAGTTGAAATTGTCTTTCTCATGCCAATCCAGAGTTATGGCTACAGCTGAGATTAGAAAAGGTTATAGCTGAAAGATAGTAAAGTCTATCCTGTTCTTGTTTAATAAATCTAACCATTTCTTTAAGGAGGAGCAAAATTGGAAATATAATCAAACAGACCTCCAAAAAGGTGCTGAACAGTAAAAGTCCTAATAACACAGACTCACACTGACTCCAGCTTGCTAATTAACATGTTCATTAGCATGCTAGGAGGGCTTTCAGAATCAACACACTGAGCCCACAGGACAACTTGCTTTTTTGGAAGGGAGAGCAAGCAGCTGAAAATTCCAACTGGCAGCTCCTGCCATCTCCTCCCAGCCCAGGAGGGCCAGGGGCTGCCTGGGGATGTGTCCACCACGGGGGGATGCAGCACAACACACATCCACATCTGCAAGGACAAATTCCTGCTGTCCTGCCACCAGAGATCTGTCACTCCTCACACCTTCACCCAAAACACACAGGGCAGGGTGATTTTGGCTTTGGAAGGAGCACTGAAAACCCTTCTCTTTTCTCCTGTTCAGTT